TTATCTACAACTATTATTTTTCTGTAGTTTCTTATGATGAAAGCTCAGCACAGTTATGGGAGTTCTGAGTTCATAGGTTTCTTTGCTACAAAGCACAGATTATGAACGTTGGGAGCGTTTGCTTTCAAATTTATGATAGTTAGAGTGACTGGCTTGAAATTAGAACATAATTTAAAAGTTAAATATATGTTTATAGATTTTTGGCTTCCGTATACCCGATGTTTGAAACAAACTTAATTCTATTTCAGGGCAATGTGTTTGATCGACTTTGGATTGCCAGTGGAGCAAGATGATGGTGATCTATTCTATGCTCAAGACTCAATGGCCAAAAATTTACAAAATTATCTCAAGAGGAAACACAGGCATAGGAAGAATTTTGAAATTTTGGAATTCAGGGATCCTGTTTTATTTTTAGCCCATCTTTCGAAAGTTCCGTCTTATTCTTAGACAAGCCGTGGTTAGAAGTGGTTAAAAGTTTAGAAGCCCAACCAGTCCACAGACATATTTTGGGCACATAACATCTTCCGTCATAGGACGTGGTCTCAGCTGGAGAGAGATGCAAAGTGGGGATAAAATTCCCTTTGTTTTGTTTCAGTTTTTTTCCTTTTTCTCCATTGCTGGGTTCCAATATTATGTATTTCTTATGTATCCTTATAATTTAATTTTGCCCCATCAGTAATAGCTGTAGCTCATAATTCTTTTAATCTACGACTTTGACGATTTAATGTGCATGTAAATTTTTGACTTACCCTTTTGTTAAAATTCTTGAGCCTCCTATTTTCATCGCTGAAAGATGCATGGTGTCAGAAGACCCTGAATATCGTAAGAACACTGGCATACTTAATCCGAAGGAACTTGTGCCGCATAATGCCGTTGATGGCTTGTTAGTAGGAAGGAAATGAAAGGAAAAGAAAAGGTGAAGATGTATGGGGGCATGTTTCTTTTAATTTATTTTATATTTGAATACTATTTCTGATTCTTAATATAAGAATTAATTAACTAATTTGAATAGATTAAAAACTAGTTAAGTTAGTTATTTATAATAAATATATTTTTTAAATATTATTACTAATAAAGTGTATTAATTAGAATTACTATTATCATAAAATTATTTTTAAGAAAATAAATAAGTATGAGAGATAAAAAAGATTAAATTTTATATTTATAATCAAAATAAAAATTAAATGAATTTTAACGTCAAAAACATGAGCTAGAAAGAAAAATGGAAGGATGGGGATGGGGTGTTTTTCCTTTTTTTTTTTTGAACCGGAATGGAGTATTGAATTGACAATGACATGACGTCACGTGTACATCGTTGGTTGTCCGTACATAATGGCCATGATGTGTGAATGTCATTTTTAAACCACAATTTATCTTAAATATTGCAATAATTTAACGGTCGGTAATTTTCACTCAAATAATAGACGGTGAATAGCATTTGAAACCTGTACAAATTTAACCAAAAAAATTATTTATATATGAATAGTAAGAAAATATAAATTTCAGTAAATAAATACATATAAATTACTCGTATATAGTTTAAAATTTAAGACATTTAAAATTGCTATTAACCTAGATTTTAGTAGTTATTTACGCACAACTGGTTCAAAGCTTCTATGTTTCGAACATTTCGAGCCTCTGACCATTTGGTTAAATGCATAGTGCACAAATCCAATGGGCGGAAGACAGTTTGACTTGTTTCTAACATTTCATGCTCAGATTTCTGAAATGTTAGAATAATTGATTAGAGGAGGACTATCTACACAAAAGTAAAATCAAAAGGTTTTCGTTGTTAAATTTTAAAAATATAGAATCGTCAACGCATGACTTTGCCTTGAATATAGAAGGATCGTAATTGTTTTTAACAAAAACAAATAAAGAAAATTAATGTTTCTTGCTTTTATTCATATATAGCAAATAAAGCAAGAGATAGCCCATTTCCTTTTTCTGTCCATTTCTATTCTCTGTCATGTACTCTCTCCGTCTCTTATTATAAGATCCAATTTTTTGAATAGGTTTATCTCTCTTTATAATATTCTTTTGAGTTTGTCTGAACATTTAATATATGTTATTACTTATTTTACCCTTAGTTTAATACATTTAATACATTCTCTTTCTTCATTTATCTCATTATTACTCTCTCACATCTACCTATTTACATTTGTTACATATTAATTACTTTTAACTAATTTTAACTGTTTTTTTAAACCGTACAATTTAATTAAAAGGATTTTATAATAAGAGACGGAGTCCTACTATTTCTCTTTGTTTTTTTCTTTTTACTTCTTCACTACCAAAGCAAGGCCTTGGTCTGAAATACAAATTGAAGGGAGCCCACATGAACTAAATTAACGGTATAGTGTTCAAAGTATAATTCATTTCTTACCTCTGAATGCAACCTCGTGAAAAAACCATAAGATCCTTAATCATATCTAAATCTACAGATACAGTTTAAAAGGAACAAGAAAATAGGATTCACTGTCCGTTTATTATTCAAGTTCTTTGCTTATAGATCCAAACGAAGACCAATAAGAAAACACTCGCAATAAAGATTTTAGTTGGATATACAGTTGCAACCAAAACAAAAACAAAACTAATAATTGAAGCAGTGTCACGAATGGATCAAATTGTGTGTGGGTTGCTATCAGATGGTGGTGGGGTTGCACTTTTTGGCTGAAAATGAAGCTTTTGTGTTGGTTTCATTATCTATCTCCAAGCTTCTCCTTACCAAATTTACCATCCCAGAGCACTTGTGAGCTAGGCTGGCACTTGGTGTCACTTAATAAAGTGGGCCACTTCTTTTCCATAAGCCCTTCGGCTTTTGGGTTTCTCTCATATGCTTCGTGGTGACCTTCCTGTCTCACAAAATAATACATTTGCAAAAAGCTTCTTGGTTCGAATCTTCCATGTTTTGTCGATTCAGTTGTGATTTTAGAGAATTATGGGATGAACTTAATGGCTAAAAGAACGAACTTGACACTTAATGACAACAGAGAAATTGAAGATGAAATCCTCATTTGGGGTTTTAATCTTTTTTTTTCCCCGACTGCAGTAGCAGCATCAAAAGGACTCTACTACGCCAAACTAAATATTTTATTTTCTTTGGGGTAGGGAAAAAAGGGGAAAAGAGTAATGAAAGAGTTTCTTTTGACGTTGAATGGCTTCTCCTTTGACGTCCTCTAGAATGTCTTTTGACAGCAACGCAGCAGCAGAGAAAAATCCCAGAAGAAAAAACTCATTTCCTTTTTCCTTCACTAAATCCACCTGAAAAGGAAGATACATAAACCCCAACAAAACAGTTACTTGCTAAGTTCATTGTCTTGAGGCCTTGCTTGTAGAAGGTAAGAAAAATAGTACTCATCCAGTTTTTAATATAAGACATATTTAATTAATTTGATTAGATTAAAGAAATTAGGTAAGTTAATTAATTATAAGATATATGACATATTTTTTCTTAAAATACTATAATCATCTTCCTTAATATCCTCTCTCTCTTTCTTCTATTTGATTATGATTGATGGAGTGTCCCTAAAGTAATTTAGAAAAATTTATAAATATGATAAATATGTTTTATATTTAAGACCAAAATTAACTCAACAATTAGGTTTTATATTAAATACCGGAGGACTATATGTCAGTGAAATCACCTGGTTCTCCTGAAGCTTGTTTTCCAGCAAGAGAGCGCTCAAAGAAACTAAAATGCTTCTGGATTTTGGGCTTTACCTGCTGAAACACCGACAAATTTACCTCAACATTATAAACTCCGAAAGTGGGTCAATGGTTATAGACATAATGAAACCAAGAGATCAATAATGGAACTGCATGTGCTACCTTCATTCTTGTTGCAGAAAAACCTTGAGAGAATTCCAATGCATCCTCCACCACTCCATTTCTTGGGAAATTGGCTTTCTTCTGTTCCATAATAATAAGAAGAAGACTGTATTAAGCACGATTTTAATCTGTTGCAAATGATTTTTTTTTTAAAGCATATTAAGTCAATGATTAAAGAAAATCAGTCCATTGACTTGCCTTGGAACAGCTAAAAACAGGGGAGCTAGCAGTGTCATCATCAAGGTGTGAAGCCTGTTGATGCATGCTAGATTCTTTCACGGTCTTCTTCTTCTTCTCTTTGGAGTTCTTGGTGTGTTGGGAAGAGGAATGATTGGGATACCAATTTTCATAGCAGCATTCATCATCATCATGGTAGATTGGAGGCCCAGAAGAAGCATCAGAGACCATGGACAAATCTTCTTCGTCCTCTACAACTCCACCACTCATATGGAAATAATTTCCAGAAGCAGCGGATTGGTCCAAGTAATGGGTCCAACCAGATTCACTCGCACTATTGTATTGTGGAGCTGATATATCCATTCAACTAGACGAGTATTTCTTTTCAGATTCTCACTAATCAACCATGGGCGATCATGCAAAAAGAGCTCAGAGCTAGAGCTGCTCTGCTCTCCTCCTTTCTTCTCTCTCCTTTGGTGCTTTGTAATGATATTCCTCTCAGTATATGTAGAGGAGGGAAACTCTAGAAGAAAATAAATAAAAAAGAAAAAGAAAACTCATCAACATACCCAAAAAAAAAAAAAGACCCGCGGGGGGGGGGGGGAGAACAAATGATTCTCACTATAATTTTAAACTCCTTGTGTCCTTATGCTCAATCGTTTCGCCTTCTTATTTTATCTTTATGCGAATGAATCAATATTGCCAGTTGGCCTTGTGTGCATGTGTGTACTATAGTGTCTATTTTGCGTAGATAGTGAGAGAGAGAGAGAGAGAGAGAGAGAGATGAGAAAGACGAAAGAGGTCATCACTCATCACTCTTCCTCAACAATTATGGCATTACCATGCTTCCATAAAAACGATAGTGCTGTCCTATCAAAAAGCAAAAAAATAAACTAAAGTTAATCCTGATTTGCTGAAGTCACAACTAATGATACTTTCATGATTACCGTCTTCTTTACATTAAAAGTCAGGCCTCCCACAAATTGACTCCACAACAAATGCTACTTGGTGCTCCCTCTCCTACATTTTGTTGATCTTTTTCCCTGTGAAAATATTCTGTGTATGCAACGACCAACATACTCTTTTCTTTACCTCTAAATCTTTACCACCCTGTAAATCTCTTGCTCAAAGTTCATCTAGTAGCATTTAGTTAGTTACCGTACTAAATATAAATACATGAATGCAATGGTCGGATTTTATGAAGAAAATGAACCACTCAAGTTGAAAGGACATAGTACAGAAAATACATGATGAACATGCATGAGAGGAGTACAATCAGATACACATACCCGTTATCTGCAATTTGCTGTTTAAGTGACAAAAAACTCACTTCACCCAAAAGGTAGAAAATCCATATAGTACCTCCAACGCATATAGGCCCCAGTAAAATAGCTCTACTCTTCCTATATCTGTGCCTTTGTACTGGAAAATAATGTGACCTTATGAAGCTGGCCTAGGAATCTGACACTGTATGCCATGCTGCGGGTGGAAATTATGAACAGTAAAAACCGATCCCACGTCGGCTGTGATGGGAAACGTGGTAATATTATTAGAAATTTTGATCTTTCTGTGTTCAATTAGTTTTTTTTCAATGACCCTACCACATGCCTAGAAGCCAGTGAATCTCCATTTCATTTATTTCTCCCCTTTGTTGTGAGCGAAGTGACAATGAAATGTGACTTTATGTTAAGATAACGGGGCCACTATATGATTTTCGTCTCATGCACTCGGATTGGTCCCTCCCTTTTAATAGATTATGTCCCTTTGCTGGTTGGTTCACGATATTGCTCTGTTAAGCACTGAGGTTATCAATCTCAATTATTTCTAATATGCAACCACTTCTGAGAAATCAATATGCAGAATCTCTACTTAAATCTCACCCTCCCCTTTTCTAGGCTCCTCTGTTTGACACCACAAGATAAGAACAAACAAGTCATGAACCAATTAACTTGCAGCAGCCCCATGGGATATATATATTATATTTCTGCTATTTATTAAGAAGAAAACAAAGAAAATGGGTGTAAAATAATAGAATGAGAAAGAAAGTGTGTGTGCATAGGGCCTTTCAGTGATGATGCAACCACTAGAGTAGCAGCATGGGCTGTTTTCTTTTTCCCTGTAGCACCAGCTTTGATACAATGGTCCCCTTATGAAGCCAAGGTCAAAGATTGCCAATTGAAACAGTGCCAAAACCACCGACTGTGGAAATTCAAACTCTTGCAAAGAGATTCCCCTCTCCTGTTTTCTCTTCAACTTTCTTTCTCTTTCACAACCAGGACAAACAATCTCGTCCTATCACACAGATTAAAATCAGATCTTGAGCTTCAATTTCTCTCGAGGAATGTGACCACTACTTACCAAGAGACGTAAAAGTTGGTGTTGATGGATGATTATGAATTTTAGATATATAGCTATGGTCCCAATTATTAAAGCGAAATTAGGTAGGAAAACTGGTACTGATATGAATTGACAGGCACTGCTATTCTTAGTAAAAGCTGTCTGGCCTTCAATACTCCACTCAAAGAGACCAGAATTCAATTCTATCTGAAACAACAATGGGGACTCTGAGATGCTAAAGCGAATTGCCGACCGAACCATGGTAAACTTATGAACTAACGTTACAGGTTTTGAGGTGAATATGGTTGTACCAGTGCCCACCCACCCTGAACAAACAATGATTCAAAGGACACTATAATATAACGCAAATGGTACTGGCATTCATTATAGACTATTAGCTATACCCCCATTTCTTTTCTTTAATCTAATTCTCCGGCCTTGTGAATATTTTCCTGATTTTTTTTACAAAACAAATATGATCCAAGTAGTTGAAAAACCAAGAGGAAGAGAACAGAGAATAGGAGGGAGAGTTCCGACTAGAATGAGAAAGCGGCGAAAGGAGGTACAACTATATTTTGCGGATGATAGGCGTGTGATAATAATTATAAAGCTACAGGCCGAACAATCCCTCAGAGACAGAGTCACAGGTCAGCGAGACAAAATAGGCATAAGGAGCCATGTGCTTACCCTATCCCGCCGTTTTGATCTGCTGACGAGCCCTTCATCATCAGCATCACCTCGTTCCTTTTTCAAAATTTTTTAACCATTTTTTTGGGTATTTGTTGCATACTTGCATGTCTCATACTTAATGTAGATCGTCATCACACACATGCTCTCATTTTCATGCTAATAACGAGGTTGAGTTGAAGAGTTTTTTTTTAAACCTTCTTTAGAGTTGTCAAAAGCACCAACCATTTGGCAATGGCCCTCAAGTCAAAGGTAAATTAATTAACTAAAGTAAATTAGTTCAAGCACGTAGATTGGTCCAATAATGTACTAAAGTCAAAAAGAACAACTTAATCTCGGACAGTTTGACATTGACATTGGACAGTTGGTAACGGGAATAAAAAAACTAGTTCACAAAGCAGATTCAAGTGGATGCCAAGAAATACTCCTGATAATCTGGAAAAAAAGAAAAAGAAAAAGAAAAATTGAGGAGCTAGCAACTGATGTATTCCTGGTACGGCCGGAATGTGTCTAAGCTTGGAATCATGTTAGAGCTGAAAGCGTGAGAAAAACTCGAGATGACTTCGATTTCGTTATGTGGGTCTTGGTAAGGAGGGTAAGATGATTTGGGGGAAATCTTGTGAAGGTGCATATAATGTTGCTGATGGTTGATCAGAAGCAGAAAAACTTAATCGAAGTTTTCTGGATGATAACAGCTTTTTCCTTAGGGGAGCTTTCATAAAATTAAAGCTCTCACATATTATGGTTATTCCTGTGAAAATTATTTAGTAACTGAGTTATTCCACAAGCTGATGTTTTGCAGAAATGTCATCAAAAAAATTGCGTGTATGTTCTGAATGTGAAGAGAGTCTTAATCACATGTTCTTATTGAGTAATTTTGCTAAAGTTTACCTGGGCTTGGGTCAGATTTAACTCTTCATCCTGAATTTTTTCAACAGAAACTTATCACTCTTTGGTTGGATTGTTTGTTGGTTTATCCAAGAGGTATGAATAAGGACGTGCTTTAAGTAAAGACAACTATGATTAAGGCCATTTCTTATAACTACTGGCTCGCAAAGAAGAGACATATCTTAGGAGAAATGACAGCAACTCGTCTGGAGGTTCTGCACAGAGTTAAGTTTCAGTGAAGAGATTTCATGACTGGTAATTGTTTGCCCATGGATGAGCCCGAGTCATTGAAGAAAGCAAACAAGTGAACTACAGTAGACATTATGACTGTCATGCATTTGTTATCGGGAAACTAGGGTTTATTCTGCCCAACCAAAGATAAGAAATGCAAATTTGTTGTGTCACTTCTCATTCATATGGCAATTCAAAGAGGGTACCTGTTATAGGGGGTGTGAAGAGCAGTAGACACAAGACATGATTCATTGATCTTCAGTGTGATTCATGAATTTCTGCTCTAGATGTTGATACCCCGAATGGAGGACTTTCTAATTTGGACAGAGCCAATCGTAATTGAATGCCTGATTTCGCACATCCATATGATCCTTCACTCTCTACAGAATTTTGATGTTACAAGCCTGCCAGGGGATTGATTAGCTCTAATTAATCTCAATTAATTGATTGATATTGACATATTAATCAACATATCCATATGTTGATATCAATTCATGTAGACCCACTTAATTATGAGACAAATGATACCAAGGAATGTATTATTGGCAACAGGTTGCTTTGCTCTTGAAATTTTCTGGTTCTTCCATTAAAAGAAGTAGGGCCATTGATAATTTTGAGCAACGTGGACAGCTTCTGTCCCCTGTCATAATTTAAAACATTTACAAAACGATAGCATGATTCTCGAAGCCTAAGGATTAAAGTGTCCCGTTCATTTATTGGGTGCCCATGCCAGACTTAATCCAACTTATAAAGGGAAAGTTCAATGTTCTGTGCGTTCTCTTACCTTGAAGGAAAATGGCACCGAAGATAATGGCTCATGTCTCATGAGATATTAGTAATTACTACCTCCGGTCCTAACAAGAAACTATATCTTATATTTTATATTAAGAATCAGAGGTATTTCTTCTTATATTTATAAATGCAGGTGGTTCAAGAGCAAAGAAAGAGCTCATCAAGCCTGTACAGGAAAGGATAAAGATCCTGTTTTAGCCCATTTGGCCTGAGGAAAGCATAGAGTTCATTACTCCTAACGTCTGCACTGCATAAGCGGAATTTTCCAGCAATGTCTTTAGTGATCAATGAACTGAAGACGGCCGTGCAACTTCATAGAACAAGGCAAGCCTCCCACTGATTCACCCAACATTCAGATCCCATGGATTGTTCAAATGAAATAAAACAAAAATGAATAGAAATGAAATGAAATGGCTGCTACTAATGCTTTTAAGTATTTTACTTCTCAATAGGAATTTACTGTGTCTTTACATTACGATGCTCGAGGTAAGGCAAAGGGCGTGCAAAAACAATGACTTGATCATACAGACCTAAAAAACTGCTGCACGAGAGTCAAGTGATGTATAAAGTTAATCTGTTTCCAGAACATCACAGTCTTCAGTTTATTTCAACCAAGATAGTGATGGCCCTAACTCTCACGCCAACAGCAAGAGTCACACGTTTATTGGACTCAGGATAAGACCACTACTTCAATGCTCATCAATTAAAAGATAACTCTGCCCATCATAACAGTTCAAAATGTGCGAGCATTGGGTACAAAGAGAGCAAAAGAAGCCCATAACAGGATGCGATCAACTTGAGTGTTTACAAGGTTAGAAAAAATTAAGGGTAAAAGAGGAAAAATATGTTGAGTTTGTGAGTGCTACCAAAGCAAGCTATAAAATGGGCCAAATTCCAGGCTACATAGTACTAATTGACATCCTTGCATACCAATCACTCTGAAGACTCACCAGTATCACTACTAAAACAACATTTCATTTACTGGATATTTCATTGCGATCAACGTTACCATTAGAATCCTCACTCTTTCTAACCCAAATTTTCTGATCAACCCTCTGCCATTGAACGTCA